AAAAGCTTGACCCTCTTTTTGATACTATTCAGGAAAAAGAAAGTATGTGGGCAGTGAAAGGACTTGTGGTGCAACATTTCGAAAAGATACACTAACACATTGTGAGAAGAGTGAGGCACTGTGTACAGTAGGAAGGAAAAATGTGGGGCATTCTGCTACACCAAAACAGACATTAAGATAAGAAAGAGAAACAGTGACCTGGAGAATCTCCAATCCCCCTGCTACATGCAGGGCCATCAACCTCCCATTTAATACTAGACCAGCCTGCTCAGGGCTCCATCCAATCTGGCCTTGAACACTTCCAGGGCATGGATGGGGCATCCATAACCTCTCCAGTTCCTGTACCTCAGGCAGAGGGGTTGGAGATTCATGATCCTTGAAGTCTCTTCCAACTCTGGCCATTCTGTGATTCTGTAATTCTATGTGAATTGGTAAAGGTCAGGGAGGAGGTAGGAATGGGACACCAGCCATTTGGACCTCAAGCTTCTCACCACCAGCCCGTTCTTCTATCTCTGCTGACAATACCTCATCTGATACTTTCTATTCAAGTAATCCATAAGGATGCTTCTCAGACCACCTAGAAGCCTTCTGTTCAGTGCTATCTTTTGGCTGGAGATGTGACATACAGGTAGGGTTATCTATGTAGTTCTTGCCTTAAGTTCAGAGGAAGCCAGGCTCACATGTTGATCTGCCATATTTTATTTAAAGAAAAACAAAACCAACCAACAAACCAAAATGGAATGTAAATTATAAAGCACAATGTGAAGGAGCTGCCACTATCCTTGTCCAGTATGCAAGGCTGGTTCAACATCTCAGCCCGCTCTGTTCTTGAGACTTGCTGCTGAGGTGAGAAAAATGAAGGGGTGCTCCCTATTCTGGCATTTTGATTTTGACTCCAACCATCTTATAACGATCTGTTTAGTGCACAATCTCGTACTAAGTGATTGGCATCCTCCATTATTCTAAACTGGAGCCTCTGTAGTAGAAAAGATTTGAAGCTTCTGTTAGCTTTGCTTGAGAATGTTTTGCAGCTCTAAAATATAGGAGAGTGCAATTGAAGCACAGAACTGTAGGACTGATTAGGTTGAAGGAGATTTCTGGACGTGTTTTCAATTGATGTCCTACTCAAAGCAGGACTGGTTAGAGCAGCCTGACTGTGGTCTTGTCCAGTTGAATAGACCCAAGAACAGAGATCTTACAGCTTCCCTGGGCCCATTTCAGTGTCTGACAACCCTTAGGATCAAAATAATTTTCCTAATACCTAATCAGAATTTCCCATGCTCCAGCTTCTGTCTTGTTTTATGACAGTATACTTTGAAAAGACTTTGTCTTGAACTTTTCAGTATCGTTCTGTGAGTTAATTGTACACAGCAATAAAAACTCCCTTCAGTCTGCTCTTCTTAAGGATGAACAAACCCAGTTTCATAGAATCATAGGATGGCCTGCATTGAAAAGAACCTCAAAGATCATCTAGTTTCAATTCCTCTCCCACGGGCAGGGTCACCAACTACTAGACCAGGATGTCCAGAGCCACATTCAGCATGGTCTTGAATGCATCCAGGGCTGGTTTTCTTGACCTCTCCTCATATTTTCTTTGCTTCAACCCTGGACTATCTCTGTGGCTCTTAGCTAGACTCACTCCAGTATTTCCATGCCTTTTCTGTACTTGTGAGCTTAAAACTGGACACAGTACTCACCTAGGCTGAGCAGATGGGAAGGGAATGTCTTTAAGCAAAGCAAAGAGTTAAAGTGAGGTCTTCCACATCCTGATGGCTGAAGCCATAATTCTCATATCTCATTGATTGCTTGATTAGCAGGAAGCAGAAGGTTAGAACCCTTGTAATTGTCATCATACTTACATTTTTAATGCTCATCCTAATGAGCTGGCTGCAAAGTGCTGCACAGATAGCAGTTTCTACCCTAGTCTAGAAATGGAAAGTTTTGTTGCATGTGAAATAGAGGTAAAGAAAACTGAGGCACTCTTTTCTCCAGGCATGTTTTTGACATATTTTGTTAAATCTCTTGGTGGGTTTACCTCTGCACTGTCAGTCTCTGTCACATAACTGTCAGTATACTATAATTGGCAGCAAGAAACTGTCAGGTGGGACTGGCATTTGTGTGATGCAGACTTGGAGTCATAGCCAAGAGACTGGGAAGTAATATATCTGCAGATCCTTCCAGCACCTCTGGAAAATGCATTCATTTAGTTAGCAATACGCATCCTGGCTTGAACTGCTCTTCTTTGATATTTCATGCTGGCAAAATGGAACTGCATGCACTGCAAGCTTTTAAATGCTGTAAAGTGTGTCTTTTGACAGCTGTATTACAATCTGCTAAGTGAGACTGGCTAACATCTATTCCTATTGTTGGAATTTAGAGCTAGGCATCAGAGATGAGAAGCAACTGCTAGAGCTTGCCTTAGAAGAGAAGGAAACCCTCGATAAAAAAATCAACACGCTGTGCAGAAAGGTGAGCCTGAGGAAAAAATACACAGTTTCATAAATAAATGTCAGGAAACTGTTCCTTTGTGATGTTGCCAATAGACTCTGACACTTGCATTTAATGAAACAGAAGGCCAGCTTCTCTGTTTTCCCTGAGAAGACATGGCAACATTAATTACTGGTAAGCTTCTTACTGACAAATGCATCTTAGAAGCTTATTATTTTAGGCATTTTTGCTTGCTTGCTTGTCTGTCTGGAGATGCTGAAGGGGATATGAAGCTGTCTGTGCTGTTGAGACCTTGCATGACATCCAAGTAACTGCTTGTGGCAGCAGAGCGTGCATTCTTGAAAAGGTTTCTGATTGGAACTTTCAATATTTCATTTGCTCTTCAGCTGGCAGCTCCCCACGAGTGGGAACATTAATTATAAGCAGAGAAGCTGAAAAAGTTCAGTAGAAAGCACTGTGTTTGGGCTCATTTCTATGCTGAGATTGAGAAAATGAGAACTAGAACCTACTGAAACGTAAGGTTCGTGTTTGTGTGAAAAGTGGCTGGGCAATAGCTGGTAACTTTGTGCTCAAAGGTAGTTGGGGCTGCAGTGGGTGACCTGGCACCTGACGCTGTAGGATCGAATTTTCAGCTAGCTTTCCTGTGGATGCACCAACGTATCCCATTTCCACACCAACTGCACTGAGCTGCAACAGCCTTTGGACTTGGACAGTTTTTAGTCCTACTTTTTCATTTGCCAATAGAAATCTGTGGCTGTGCGTGCTCAAGCCGTGGCATTTGTGAAGGCTGGCTGTAAACTTCATTAAAAGGAGATACAGTCATGAAAGAGATAGTGACATTCTTTTTTTGTTTTTTTTTTTTTTTCCCCTTCTTTTCTCTTTTCAGCTTTTCCAGCTTCTGGTGCCAAAGGAGAAGTATGATAAAAGTCATGTTATATTAGAAGTGACAGCTGGCAGAACAACTGGAGGTCAGCAAAATCTCCACAGTAAAGATTACTCCGAACCCTCATCCAACTTTTTAAGGCTCTTACGGGTTATTCTTAATGCATTTTTACACCTCAGTGGCATAAAGTCATACTTCCTTAATCTGTATTATTTATTATCAGCATTAATCTGTTTTATGAGCACGAATACAGTTGCAGTTAAATCTTAAAACCTGTGGCTGCCGTTTTGCAAACTGCTATTTATGTTGCAGCGCCTTTATATTTATAGGTGACATCTGCCAACAGTTCACTAAAGAAATGTTTGAGATGTACCAGAACTATGCAGACTATAAATGCTGGACCTTTGACATTCTGAACTACGTGCCAGCTGAGATAGGTACAATAATTCTCCAGACGTTCCATCAAGACAACTACATTTAAAGCTGTGTTTCTGTGCTGTACTTTCCACGCGTTATTTGTCTCTATAGGTGGGTTGCATCATGCAGCTGCTCATATTTCAGGAGATGATGTCTACAGGCATCTGAAATATGAAGGAGGGACTCACAGAGTCCAGCGAATCCCTGAGACCGGACTGTCATCGAGAATGCAGCGTATTCATACGGGGACAATGTCAGTTATTGTGCTCCCTCAGCCAGAGGAGGTAACTATCTGTTCATCTCAGCAACAAGGAAGTGTGTTGCTGGCACTGGAGTGGGTGTTATTTAAAACCACGGTACTGTTAGGGGATTTTATTGAAACCCAAGTGCTTTGAGCAAGTCCCAGCAAGTAAACCACAAGCTCTGTGGTTCTGGAAGGCAGCAGGACTTGGCTCTGTATCTTACATTTGTAAATGGGTCATCAGAAGTGACTTTACAAATGTTTGCTACTGCCTGAAAAAGCGAGTACATCGGTGGTCATTTCAATGAGTGTTTCAGCCCCATTGCCTGCAAAAATGGAGCAAGCCAGTATTAAATTAAGTCACATATTAAGATGGGGAATATATCCAAGAAAATATTCAGTATTGCTTAGGCAAGTGACTCAGCAGGTCCTTTACTACTTTTTTGTTCATTTAAATTGCTGGTGTTCGATCAAGGACTGTATGCTTTGCATTTGAATGAGCGCGTTGGTTGGTCTTTCTGAGATTTTTCTGATACCACCAGATCTCACTTAAACTAGCAAGTTATGCAAAGGATAACCAAAACCAGATCTTGTAGGCTTTCCCTGCAAATTCTCCTGCTTCTTTGTAGTGCTTTCCTTGCAACAGTGGTCAGATTTGAATGTTGCTTTCCTATCCACTGAGCTCAAACTTGGTCCACGTCATCATGGACTCCTATCCTTAGCTGGATCTGGATACACCTAATGTTTCCTCAGGTAGATGTTTTTAATCATTGTTGCAAAAATCCCTCAGGCTTGAGTCACGGAACTCATTCTTGTGCTGTTAGCTGCTGATTTTAGTTAGCTTCCCATGCAGATGTACCTTGTTTTCTGAGGGATCTGGAGCAACAGCAGGTCCAGAGGAGGGTCACAAAGGTGATCAGAGGGCTGCAACACCTCTCCTATGAGGACAGGCTGAGAGGGCTGGGGCTGTTCAGCTTCAAAAAGAAAAGGCTTGGAGGAGACCTTATAGTGGCCTTTTGGTAGCTGAAGGTGACCTACAGGAAAGTTGGGGAGGGACTTTTTATAAGGACAAGTAGCAACAGGACAAGGGAAAATGGTTTTAAACTGACAGAGGGTAGATTTGGACTACAGAGTAGGAAGAAATTCTTTCCTGTGAAGGTGGTGAGACACTGGAACAGGTTGCCCAGTGAGGCTGTGGATGCTCCCTTGCAGGAACCATTCAAGGCCAGGCTGGATGGAGCTTTGAGCAACCTGGTCTAGAGGGAGGTATCCCTGCCTTTAGCAGGAGTTGGAATTAGATGATCTTAAAGTTCCCTTCCAGCCCAAATCATTCTATAATTCTATGATAATGATTGTAGCTTATACTCAGGTACAGTTGTAAATTAGTAGGTTTTTAATAAGTGATTTCTTTTACTCTATCACTGAAAAGGCATCCAGAATATTTTAGGAAAAGCAGAAAATGGTATTTTTCTTTGATTCTAGGTTGATGTTAAAGTGGATCCCAAAGATCTGCGTATAGACACATTCCGGGCCAAAGGAGCAGGAGGGCAACACGTCAACAAAACTGATAGTGCTGTGAGGATTGTACATCTTCCCACAGGTCAGTCTGGCTGTAGTTGGTACTTCCAAGCACTCTAAATGTGCATTCTGGAACGAAAGCATGTGCCTCTGTAAGTCTGCAGGGTTGTGCCATCTACCAAGAAGTCAGTAGCCCCTTTTTGTTCTGTCGTCTTCTAACAAAGCAATGTATGAGAAGAGGAACTTAAGTAGTGGTACAATGACCAACATGCTGCTGTTATGCTTAATGAATACACTGTCTTTGAAGGATGAAAGAATAAATGGAGGATTTGGGGGATGGGGTGGAAGATGTAAATAATTTGTGCTGATTGATTCAGGAGTAACGGCTGTTGTCAGCTAAGGGTGCACTTTGCCTAGCTGCAGCAGGCAGAAAGAGAAGCTTGAAGATTTCCATTTAGTATTAGCTAATGCTATCCAAAATTAAGTAGGAAAGAAAACGTGCTGATGGGAAGTTAACATAAGTACTGAACCACTCTGTCTTTCTTAGGATTTATTTGTACTGACGTTCAGTGGGCCTGTATCTGTCTAACCTGAAAAAAAGGCTTTGGCCTTTTCATTTTGGAAATCAGACAGGAAGTAAAAAACAAAAAATTAGACCTTTTTATTTTATTTCATTCTTTATAGTTCAGTTTAAGACTCTCTACTATGGTTCTGATGCTTTCTTCTTCTAGAATAAGGAACTTTCCAGGTTTCAAGAGCTCGTGTAGATGAAGACATTCAAAAAACCCACATTACAGTTTTTTAAACATGCTCTTGTAGATTCAGCAACTTCACTTTTGTAACATGTGACAGATACCTGGAGTAAACCTGTCCTCTGGAGGCAGTCCAGAGAATGATAATTCCAATGAGAACTGTTTGCTTTATGGAATCTCACAGTATCCCTAGCTTTTCTGTAGCACCAAACAAAACTCCTGGTGCAGCTGTGAGGAGTTTAAAAACATACTAATGGTTTGAGACATTGTGTTAAAATGACTTTATCCTGCAGCTGAAAGGCCCTAAAAATGAGCACTCCTAGAAGGTGTCATCTGCCTAATGTGTTTGAATTAATTTAGCTTGTTTGTTCTGTGTTTGAATGAGCTTTTTGCTCTGCTCTGTCTGACATTCTACTGTGAAGGGGTGGTGGTTGAGTGCCAGCAGGAGAGATCGCAGCAGATGAACAAGGAAACAGCTCTGAGGACGCTGAGAGCTAAGCTGTACCAGCAGATCATTGAAAAACAAGTGAGTCAAGAGCAGAGCGCCAGGAAACTGCAGGTGAGAAAAGCTGACCAATGAACTTGGAAAGGGTGCTTGGTTGTGGGGGTGTTTCTCTGAGTGTCTGTGTCTAATCTGGGTGTCAAGATGCTAACTCTGCTTTCAAACTGCACATCTGTTGTTTGCTTATCCCAGTTCAGCCCTAGTATAGAATTTTCAGGTAATGAAAGAGCTGCAGAGTGTCGGTGGAAAGAAGAGAATCATAAGAATATAGCTAAAATTACCCAAAAAGCAGCACTCAGCACCCAACGTTGTGTTACACAGCTAGAGCAGCAGCCAAAATTCAGATCAGAAGTTCTTGGGGTTGTATGTTAGGCCGTTTCTAAAACATGGTGTTTGTTTGACAAGATGGTGTAGCTTCTGGGAGAAACAAGTACACAAAAGAGCCTGCCATTTCACAGCTCTGTACCGGCGTGTTTGCTGTGGCTTAAGGAAAGAACTTCAAATTCGAGTTGCTTCAAGTTGTGCTGCAGGCTGTACTTTCCTGTTAAGTGTGCCAACGTTTTTTTCCCATTCTTTGAGCATTTTGCTGTTTGCGGTGCAAACTTCAATAGCAATCAACAAGAATAAAAATACTTGGCAATACCAGAATTCTTCAGCGTTCCACCGTTTCCAGCTTAGCTATTTAATTGCTCACTTCAGGCTGTGTGTCAGTGTATTGTTCCTGCAGATTATTAACTCTGTCTCTGTAATCGGTGAGCCATTTATCTGCTGTTAATAATTTTCGCTCGAGAGTTCTCAAGGCTGCATTAAAAGACTTCAGATTTTCATTTATGTTAATGCTATAGAAAATCAGGCTAAAGTGAATTACCTTTTATAGTGATTCAGAATATATAAAATCCCTTCTTTTGAAATACAAATGTGATTGCAGGTGGAATTTAAAAGAAAAAAGTAGCTTGTACAAGTAGACACTCATTTCTCTAAGTAGTTTTCAGCATGTAATTCTCCTTTTTAGTACAGTGCTTAACCATGCACCCAAGCTACATTTGGAGTTGAGCATGACGTCTTTTCGAACTGATTGCACTACTTCACTTTACCACCAGAGGACTCCTCGGTGTCCGCTCGATTTACTCTGCTCATTTCTGATGGCCAGATGTTAGAGAACTCCTTTGCCACCCTCTGTGAAGCAGACATCGATTGTGCTGCTACTGTTATGAATGGTTCCCACTCACTGCCTTTTGTGGGAATGCCTTCTGCCTTCCGTGGCTTTTGAGACTGACGTAATTCTTGTTCTATTTCTTTGGTGCTTTGCTACAGTTGGGAACAAGAGCCCAGTCAGAGAGAATTCGTACTTACAACTTCACCCAGGACAGAGTCACCGACCACAGGATCTCGTATGATGCACGCAATATCAAGGTAATGGTTGCTTATGAGGGTTTTAAGACTTGGATATTTATCTGTGCCATGTAAAGCAAAATGTAACCTTGTGAAAATAATTTAAAATACATGGCGAAATCACATGGCTATTTACATCCTAATAGAACACGACTAATTCAAGAAGCCTACACTTCTCTGCCTTTCTTCAGGAAATAACAAGCTGACCTAGGGCTCTGTGTATCTCTCCAGCTATATGAATGAATGATGCTCAATATGTGGTCCTCTTTAGTGAGCTCTGTGAGAACTCCTGAGTAGTTCCCACTGCAGAACGGTACTGAGGTATGCTCTGTAATGCTTTGGTCTGCTCTTATTTTCCCATAGGAAATTCTGAGTGGGAAAGAAGAACTGGATAAGCTAATAAACAGGCTGCTGGAGTTTGCGGAGATGGAGGCTGTCACAGAGTATCTAGAAAACCTGCAGTCTGTAGGAGGAGAAGGATGCTGAAGACCTTGTGTGGAGCTAAAGCAGGACTGGGTTTGTAACTAAATAAAATGGACACTTATTGGATGACAGATTAAAATCTATGCCTCTGTTTTTCAGTGTGTGCTATTGCTTTTTTCATGCTTTGGCACAAATGAACTTTATGGGTTGAATTTACTACATCTCCCCTAGCAGAAAAGAAGAGGCATTGATTACTGTGTGCACATACCTTCTGTCTTGGCAGCAGGGCTTTTTGAAGCCAGTTCTTCTCTTGTCCATATTGCAGCTGGACAGACATAGAATCATGGTGATGGAGAAGAAGAAATACTACATGCTGCACATTTTGCTCTGGAGGTAGGAGAGGTCCATCCCAGGCTGGATGTGGCTCTGGGCAGCCTGGTCTGGTGGTTGGCAGCCCTGCATATAGCAGGGGGGTTAAAACGAGATGATCATTGTGGTCCTTTTCAACCCAGGCCATTCTATGATTCTGTGATTCTATGATTTCTATGATCCAGGTGAAAGAACTTAAGCTCCCCTTACATAGCTTAGAATCTGACCTTGTCAATAGCACTTATTTGTGTCATTTTTATCTGCCAATTGAGTGAACTTCCTAATATGGAGTGATTTTTGAAAGGACTCTTAGGATGCTTTATTTTGTTACAGGACATGTACAATGCCAAAGCTACTTTGACAAGGGGCAACTGTGCCCATCAGTGCTCTTGCAAGTATGTATTCTTGGGTCAGCTGAAGGTGGGTGTGGACCACGTGCTGTGCTGGATGCAAAAGTGCTTGCTATAGAATCAAATGAAGATGACAACACTTTGGAAGGAGTTTGGTGATGATAACGGGCAGCTTTCTACTTGTTGACAGAAAGTGAGTTCACACTGTAGATGTATTTTAACAAATAAGGTGCGTCTGTAATTCAGCTTCTGCCTCGATGTCTTTGGGAATGTGTGCCTGGCTCTGAGGGCAGACTGTAGAGAGCTCAGCTTTAGCAGGGCCTGCATTCATGTTTTCCCCTAAGCATGCATCATGCAATGTGCTCAACACGCACTGGTGCGTAGGCAGGCAGCAGGCAGAAGCAGACATGCTCACTTCTTTTACATCACCCAAGATTACACAGGTGTGGCTCTGAACCAGGCTGGCTGCTGGATCAATGCATCCCTTTTTTTTATCCTGCTCTTCCCAAAGTGTGCTTTTCAATGGCTCTGCACTGTCTTTTGGATGTGAAGAGTTCATTCACTGTTACAACTTAAATTACACTTAAGTCAACCACAGTATCTGCACATCCATTTTGTAATCAAGAATGATACAAGACTGAGAAAATACCAATTATTTTAAGAAAAAAACAGTATTTCAATACTGAATCTTCTAGATTTTATAGTTTTTAATACTGTATATATAGTAACAGTTTTAACTTCAGATACTTTAAGACAGACAATACTTGCACCTGTAAGAAAGCAGGAAAACTACTCAGTTTCTCAATCACAGAATTATTTTGCAATGTGTGTTTTTGCATAATCGTAACAAGTTTTGTTTGCAAATTTTTGACATGCTTTCAACACTTTTAATTACAAAATCTTTTTTTTTTTTTTTTTTTTCATTGGTAGCTCTATAAATCGAGAGTAAATTAATTATCGTATGACTGAAGAGTTGTTTGCCTGTTTGCGCATTGACTGCCTGCAGGTACACACACACCTCAGCTCTCAGTTCTACAGTACTGTCAAACCAGTAATAACTCATGTAATGAGCTTGCTGGGAGCTGCAAACTCTGTGTACATGCCTTGCACCTTTTTTTGGCCTCGGTCCACTCCTCACTTCCAAGGAAGTGTGAGTAGGTTCTGTCCCACAGGAAAATTCCTCTCCAGAGATGATCCTCCTGTCCCGCAGCCAAGGCAGCAGTTTTGCTGTAGTTTTATTCTTTTTCAAGGTAAGATTCTTAAAGCAAGGACGTAAGTTTTATGCCTTTTTTGTCTTGGATGCTAGCATGGTATAAATAAATTACTTCTTGGCAGATAGATATACCCCATTCATACAAATAAGCTGGATTACTGTTTTCTTTTACTTCTCGAGGTAGAAGAATTTGGCATTTCTAATATGGGTTCCACTTGGACATCTATAAAACTTCCTTACCTTTAACGTAGTGATTGTCAAAATGTCAAGGAGAAAGGAGTTTTAAAATGAGAAAGATAGTAGTTGCCACCTACCCGACCCCTGGAATTCTATGTCTCTCTCAGCTGTCGTTTTCCAAGACCTATCTACAGTGTAGGTACTTTAGACCTCTAGCACTGGCTACATAAATAGCATCATCTTTTTGCTCTGGCCATAAAACCCAGCTTGTTTCACACGACAGAAGATGGATCAGAACTCACATACAGAACTCACATGCTGCCAGGGTCAGGATACCCAATGAGTCAACCAGAAATGCTTCTTGTGATGAGAGGTTGTCCATGGGCTGTGGCTTGGTAAAACATCCACTTCATCACTCAGATCCTTCCTCTTCCTCGTACTTGTGCTATCTATCTAGGGTTTTCCTCTCAGTGTTAGAATGATGATGATTCCTTTTGTAGCCAAGAGTTGTCTCTAACTCGGCTGAAAGGCAGGGCTATTGGAATGTGATGCTGTCTACATAGACACAAATGTACTTACAGTGCTCTGCTGAATTATGCATATATGTTATCTATATAATTTTGAATAAACAAAACATAACTATAATGAAATATTCATAGAATCACAAAACGGCTTGGATTCAAAGGGACCTCAAAGCCCAGCCAACTCCAACCCTGTGCTGTGGCCAGTGCCACCCATCAGATCCAGCTGCCCAGAGCCCCATCCAAGCTGGCCTTGAGTGCCTCCAGGGATGGAGAAAAAGTAATGCATAAGGTGTTGTGGAAAGATGGATTTTTGCCTTCCATATGTAAATAGACCAGCACTGCTATCTTATTTTGATGATTTTCAGTAAATCATCAGCGGAATGCAGAAGGGAATGTAGCAGAGATCCTAGCCCTGCAGTGAGCTGCTCACTATCATTGAGCCCCATCCCTGGAGGCATTCAAGGCCAGGCTGGATGTGGCTCTGGGCAGCCTGGTCTGATGGTTGGTGACTCTGCACATAACACAGGGGTTGAAACTAGATGGTCATTGTGGTCGTTTTCAACCCAGGCCATTCTGTGATTCTATGATTTGCTTAAAAGGAGAGATGTTGTTAGCTATAAAACTGAATATTTCATATTCTGGCAGAATGGGTTGCCCCAGGGTCACCCAATTTCATGCTAGCTGCTTAGTGTTGTTGCATAGCTATTTTTAACTTTTTGTAAACAAAAATAAAAAAATAATAAGCTGCCAAATGATCATATTGACAGGAAGATTTTTTATCCAGAAAAGCATTATTGAATAAGCTACACACATTCCCACCTCTCTGAAAGTGCACATCTTTAACTCTCTATTGCTTCTCATTCTTGAGATCAACACCTGCAGAGGCTCCTGAGTAACAGTGTGTTACCATCAAGAAATTTACATACTTAGATACAGTCTGAATGAGTAAGTCCATTGCCAGCAACTGCACAGTGCGCTGCTGGGAAGCACCCTGTGCTGACCACAAACTAAAAAATACTTCTTTTAATGAACACCTCCCTATTTACACCTCCAGTTTATATTCCCTTTTTTAACAGAACATAAATCATAGAGTCATAGAATCACTGAAGTTGGAAGAGACCTCCAAACCATTGAGTCCAACCATCTACCTACCACCCATGTTTCCCCACTGAACTACGTCCCTTAGTACAACATCTAGGGAAAGGGACTCCACCACCTCCCTGGGCAGCCTGTTCCAGCACCTGACCACTCTTTCAGGCAATACATTTTTCTTAATGTCCAACATGAATCTCCCCTGGTCCAACTTGAGGCCATCCCTCCAGTCCTAGTGCTAGTTACGTGGGAGAAGAGGCTGACCCCCACCTTGCTGCAACCTGCTTTCAGGGAGCTGTAGAGAGTGATAAGGTCTCCCCCGAGCCTCCTCTTCTCTACACTGAACAATCCCAGCTCCCTCAACAGCCTGTGCTCCAGACCCTTCTCAGCTTTGCTGCCCTTCTTTGGATGCACTCCAGGGCCTCAATGTCTTTCTTGCAGTGAGGGACCCAAAAGTGAACACAGCACTCAAGGTGCGGCCTCACCAGATCTGAGGACAGAGGGATGATCACTTCTCTGCTCCTGCTGGCAACATTATTTCTGATACAAGCCAGGATGCCATTGGCCTTCTTGGCCACCTGGGCACACTGCTGGCTCGCATTCAGCTGAGCACTGACCAACACCCCGGGGTCCATTTCTTCCAGTCTTCCAGACACTGCCCCAAGTCTGTAGCATTGTCTGGAGTTGTTGTAGCCAAAGTGTGGGACCTGGCACTTGGTCTTGTTGAAGCTCATCCTGTTGGCCTCAGTCCAGCAACCCAGCCTGCCCAGATCCCTCTGTAGAGCCTTCCTGCCCCCAAGCAGATCGACAGCTCCTCCCAGCTTGGTGTCATCTGCAAACTTACTGAGGGTGAACTCAATGCTTTCGTCCAGGTCATCAATAAGATACAGGACAGGCCCCAGTACTGACCAATAAATGTTAGATTGTCCTAAAACACCTTGAATATGTGAGCAACAGCAATACAGATCATTTCAATAAAAGCTTTATTTGGTATTTCTGTATAAACTCCACTTCAAAGACTTGCAGTATTTTGTCATTGCGACAAAGAATTCTATACAGAGAACAGCTGCTCAGCTTTGCAGATAACACAAAAGAAAATGAGGGCTTCGAATGACTCCATGTTCCACACTGCACCTTCTGTAAAATAAGTGATGAAAACCCCAAACAAAACCCCAAAGCTTGGTTGGTTGGTCACAGCAGTGACTCTTGTGGTTCATAGGACAAACAGCAGGTAGAAGGTGAGACAACTTGACAGGTGGTTGCAACAGAGATGGCACAGAGGTGCCTGATAGACCACGAGCAAAGGGCTGCGGAACCAAAAAAGCACAAGGATGGAAGGTATGCAAGCTCTGTATGAGGAGTGGAATGAATTCTGTCTCAGGAAAACAAATTGTTGAGAAAATCAAAGAGCTGGGGACAGGAGGAGGCGTTCACTGGCACTGCGGCACAGCGATGACACAGAGATTTGCATATATCAGAATAGTGGAGGAAGACAGTTTGAGGAAGACACCAATAATTTAGAAAAGTACTAAAAAGGGGTGACACGACTTGAAAAAAAAAAAACACAAACCAAATCAAGGACGCCAAGCAGCATAAAATCATTTTTTACTCCTTTTCTGAGATGCCAAAATATGCATCGGAATAACATTATTTTCAGGGGGAAACAGGAGCGAGCCATTTATAAATGCACAGGCAGTGAATTTAACTCAGACCCACACCGTGACCAACCCTACCATCTTCTCAATCTGAGCATTGCGTTCGAATGGTACTGCGGCAAAGATTTTGTCTACGAGGGTCAAACAACAACAACAAACATTTACCAAATTGGGAAAATCTGGATTTCCGTCTACACGTTCCTGGGTGGAGGGTTAAAATGTGGCTTCTAGGCAATACCATAGCATGGGTCCAACTGAGCAAGTGGTCTCTACACAGCTCCTGTCATGCTGACTTCCACACAACCACCTTTTTTTTAGTAGATGCAATGTGCTTCCTTCTAAAAGCACTGTCATCTCCAGGCAAGCCCTGCTGTAACACACACACAGCAGAAATGGGCTGCGAAGCTCCACTTCCACACAAGACAGGTGATGCCAGAAAGAGAGAAATACAGCACAGTGCAGTGACTTGTTCACGTTCAGACATCAGAGATTGCAGTGAATCCCCTTCATCCCTTTCTCTCTGCCTACCTTCCCCCAGTGCTAGTGGTGCCCTAGGCAGCTGCAGAGCCAAGGTGCAGCCCTAGCTGAAGGGGCGTGCAGTAAAAGCAGGCAGGCAGACCAATGTGCTGCATGATTGGAAAGGAATTAGTCAGAAAACAAAACGCTCTTCTTCTGAAACAGCAGAAGCAACATTCCTTTGTCAGAAGCCAGTTCAGCCCAGGGGAGGATTAGCAGATGAGGAGTGTAACTAAGATAATACCTATAGGATTCCTATGGCAAATTCCAAAGGCAGAGGATTTTGCAGGGAGGTAGCACGGAAGGGAGAGATATCTCTGCAGAACAGATTATTTGGAACACCAGTGTCTGCAGTGCTTCTTACTCAAGACAGAGTTTTTGTATAAAAGTGGAAGCATTTGGTTTAGAGATACGGTGAGGTTATCAACAGCACAGTGCAAAGCTAAACAGGGACTCTAAGCACCACCTCTGTATCAGCTGGTTGTCAGTACATTTGGGGGCCAACCACAGCCACTCTTCAAACTGAATTTCAGAGGTAGCAGGGAGGGAAATGCTGCATTTGTGAAATGTCAGCATCAGAAATCACATCAGCAAAGGCTGGGATGTGCATCTGACCCTGACGAATGACAAACAAAGAAGACATGGAATCCTTTTTCCTAATGCAAACACTTGCTTTGGCTTATTGATGAAACGCAGTACTTTATGACCTTTGGTTTGTATTACTGCTAACAGCGGCTCAAGGAAGCAAGTTTTGAACGCCTGTATTTTCAGATGTTTTTCAACATCTGCTTAAGGAGTTTAACTACAGGTACCACAAATCACTGCCTGTGACCATTCAACACGACAAAACATTGCTGAGAACAGATGATAATATTTTGGGAACCTCACTAAAGAAAGGAAAGAAGTCTTCTTCGGAGAACTGATACCTACAGAAGAGCACTGAGAAGAAAATCATTTAATTTACTTCATGCTTGGAGTAATACAAGTACTGCAGGGCGAAGGACAGAGCACAGAATGAGTACAGCAGGAAAAAAACTCGTAAGAAAAAAAATGTTCTCGAAGGCAAAGCCTGATCAGCTGCTACCTCAGCAGTTAGCAGCAGCAGAGGAGCAGAAAGAGCTGCTTGTAGTGGTCAGTCACAGGGCACCTGCAGCACACAGCACGATGCGATCATGTGGAAGGCAAATGTGGTTGAGGGATGTATCAGGAATTACTCACAATACTCTACAGAAGTACTGGTGGCATCACGTGTGGCCTTGACCTGCCAGCAGTGTGCAGCCGAGACAGGAGAAAAGGAGAAAGGAGATTTCTGCTCTAGCCTTTCACGTGGAGAAGAAGTACATATTCTTGCATCTACGACAGTGAGAGCAGCCAGCAGTCATCCTGCACCTCTGAGTGAAAATGCAGAGCTGGACATGAGAGAAAATAGTTGGATTTCTCAAAATAAACATCAGAAGAAATACAACCTCTACAAAGAAGCCAAAGAAACCCACAGGATTAAATTCAATACTTAATTCTCTTCCATACAGGCACACAAAACATCACAAAGTAGAAAAAAAAATTAAAAGAAAGGACCTCAGCTTCCTTTGCAATATATGATAGATCAGATTCCCACTCCTGTGTCAGCTGATCTGACAGATGAGGTCATTTTCTCAAGGAAATCAAGTTCAGAAGTTTCCAACTGTATTTTGCTGTAGCTGGACTGCACCAACTGCCTTAACTCTGCTTTCTGACTGAGGTTCCCCTGAGCAAAGAGCTGTGAGCTTTAGAAATGAAGACACATATTTGAATGGTTGCATGACTGGAAACTTTGCGGCTCACTGTTTGGTACCCAGGGAAGCAGGATGTAGTGTTGTCTTCTCACACAGCCAATGAATCTTGATAATGCTAGTGAAGACCTATGAAATCAAACTTAGACTCCTTAAGATAGTCAACTGCTAAAAACCTGAGCAGCCAGCCAGGATGTTTCAGCCATCAGCCCTTATTGATCTTTTGTTTTCCTCTCAGAATAATGAAGCTTCAATATGCTTAGCCCCTCTCATCTTAGCTAACGCTGTCTGCAACTGCTCAGCTCATTCCTCTTGCAAAAGAGAAAAACCATCAGCCTCAAAAAGGTTGCTGTACTCTGCAGCAGGGATAAATCTTTTGAATATTTTTTCATGACAATATCAAGCAATTTTTCAATAGAGAAAGAGACAAAAAGGAAACGAGGTTAAAAAGAAAGAAAGTGTGATGTGTAAAAAGAAAATTCAAATAGAGGCAACAAAGCAAAATATACAGGATGAAAGCATAGAAAAATTTACTGCAACAGAGGTGGTTCCAGATAAATAACGCTGAGGGATGATTTTACTCTCTACGCCATTGATCCAGTTCCTGTGTAAAAATAAAAGGTCTGCATTATTTTCCCCAGATTAAGCATTACTTCATTGTCCTGTACTTAGAAAAGGAGTAAAAAAAACCCAACACAATGTTTCTAAAACAGCAAACATGGAGCAAACTGAGAGTAGATGGCGTGGTTAAAATAAAAAATAGGTCTATTTACAATATTGCATAATTAATATAACACAAACTTCCATTCCAAAAGCAGTCACATCAAAATAAAAAAATAGTACAACTCACGTCTGTTTTAATACCTATAAATCCTTAATTTCTATCCAACATTTTCTTTATAAAAGCCTGTTTAAAATATTAAACTTCTGATTCTCTCCAGCTTCAGCAGTATCTAAAAGGTTTAAGTATTACTGATCGTCCAGTCTTTGTCTTAAGTTTCTGGATTTTCCATTTTCAAATTTCCTCTTTTTAAATGTTGGCACCCCTTCTGTCAGGTCTCCAAGGGAGGTCACTGTCTTCTCCTTAAATATCACTGTGGCATCTTCTGAAACATCTAGCACCGGAGGTGGCACGCTGTCACTCTCTGTACTAGGAAGCTCCAGGTCCACTTTTTCACTGTGAGGAGAGAGGGAAACACAAGAGGGTTAATCTATGTGGAGGAGAGAACATGGTGTGCTATAGACAGTAACATCTATATTTAATTATCAAAGCAGCTTTGAGCGAGAGGCAAAGTCTTCTAGCCAAGATGATCATCATTACAGGGATCAAGAAAAATGTTCTTTCTATGTGAGCTGGCACACAAAAAAAGACTTCTGTTTTGCAGTGCTTATAGCATGCCCCAAGTACTCACCATGCAAACACTCCTGTAAAAGACAGCAGGCTTGCATGTGTGTATAGTGAAGAATGCTGAAAGACAGTGGCCAGTGAGTAATTAACAAAGGTTCAATGCCAAAATGCTAAAGCTGGGAGAAGCAGATTCAGAGGACAAGATCACAGCTGAAAATCAAAGACGTCGTCTAAAAATTACCCATCAGTTTTAGAGGGTCAGTGGCAAATGCTGAGTTCTGGAGGGATAACCTGAGGCACAGGAACATAAAATGGAGAACAGCTGAATGGTTGGTAAACAGTGGCTCAGATCACACATCTATCACAATGACAGCAGCACAGCACTGTTGCAGAGAGGCACTCTTCCAGGACACATTATACTCGTGGCCAATCCATACAACAAATCTTTCAGCACTGCTGAGTGTTTGTCTGGTGTCAGCTCCTCCCATTTTTGCGTTCTGTGTTTCAAAGATCAGCTCAAGCACACGAACCAGAGCCATGGGAATGACTTCAAGTCATGAAAAGTGTGACTGCTGCAGTATCAAACAGTGACAAAACTGTATCTGCTGAATAATTTAGAGCTAAAATGCTGTAGAATGGGGTGAGTATGAAGGGAAAGATTGGTTTCCTTCTCCCAAAACTGACTATAAAAGACAGCATGCTTAAGAAGAATCTGAGCAAGCTCAGACACTGTGCAATACAACATCAGAGCAAAAAACCACAAACAAGCAAAAATCCCTGATCAAATGCATGTCATGAAAACATCTGCTATTAATCAGCTGGGCATGAGAAAGAGACATCACACAGATTTAATACATTGGCTTTAGCAGATTACGTGTTTTGTCCTTCATCTCCTGACTTAAATTATTACAAGAAGTGTTTGAGAATATCAAGCGCTTATCCACAATGACAGCAGAAAAGAGTTTCAGTGGATTCTGTCTTTCTTTCTTCTTTCTTTCTTAACTACTGGGAAATTAGGGAGCAAGAAAGATAACAGCTCAAACAGAAATCTTCTAATGGAAATTTTCTAAAATCTTCTTCTTTTGCTCAGGGACATGATTTAGCAGAGGGTTGTTAGTTAACGTAGTATGATCAGGTCATGGTTGGACTCGATGATCTTTAAGGTCTTTTCCAACCTGAGTGATTCTATGATTCTGTGATTCTAATACAGTGCTGGGTGAAAGTAAAACAAAAAAATTGCTGTTATAAAGGGTCGTGTCCTTCAAGTGAACAATTAGAGTCGGCAGAGTACCTGGAATTAAGAAATAATTCACTGCCTGCATAAGTAACTCGGCCAACATCCTAGCAATCATGTCAGCAAGTAGTGATTCCACAGGGAAGGAACTCAAAACATTACTAAGAAAGGATGATCAAGATCAGATTGCTACTGGTCCTAGAAGATTGAGATAGCTCTTGAACTCCAGGCAGAGTTAGCCTGACCAACTCATTGTTCACCAGAAAGAAACAGAATCTAGCAGACTCTAGAAGCCCCTGAGAAAACTGCCTATGTGGTTCCAAGGCTGGAAGCAGTTGAAAAAAAAAAACAGTTACAAGAGCTGAACCAGATTGTTGGAAGGAAACGATGATAAGGAACATAAGCTCAGTGTAACTACATTTAAATTGTTGTTACTTATCCTCTGAGAAAAATGATGAATGACAATTATCCTCTAAATCACTTCACTTTACTTTGCACTTGTGGAGGACTTCTACACTGAAAACAAAATGCCACTGCTGCCCTCCATGGAGATCTATTACTTAAAGAAATCACCAAGCATTGACACTGGAATGGCCTGCCCAGAGAGGTGGTGGAGTTACCATCCTTGGCAGTGTTCAAGACGTGTCTGGATGAGGAGCTACGAGGTATAGTTTAGTAGCTAAGTGGTAGTAAAGGTAATGCAAGGATGGTTGTACTAGATGATCTTGTAGCTCCTTTCCAACCTTGTGATTCTATGATTCTAAGAAAAGAATTGTACCTGGATTACATTCCCAATTGCTGCTGTGCTAATTCTGCCAGAAGTCAGAAGAAAAAGCTTCAGCTCCTGAAAAGATTCTGGAAACAAAACCTTATGAAAATTACTATGGTAAAAAGATACTTACTCAGGTTCTTCTTCTTCTTCATTTTTAATTGCTTTCCATTTTCCATAAGTGTCAGTCTTAGACTCATCACTGGAGGCTTCTTTGGAAGCCAATGCAATCTTCTCTTTATCGACGGCTTCTTCCTGCCATTTAACTTCCTGCCATTTAACTTCCCGCCATTTCCCGTAAGGGCTCAACTTTTTAGCTTTGGGAGATTTCTCTTTCTCTGATTCTTCATCATTTTCTCCTTTCTTCTAAAGAGGAAAAAACCCACTGTAAGCAAAAAAGCCTAAATAATAACATTTTTTTATTATCTGCTATTCATAATTTTCAACCAAGAGTAATTTCAAACAATGATTTCACAGAATGGCCAGGGTTGGAAGGCACCTCAAGGATCACAAATCTCCAACCCCCCTGCCACATGCAGGGCCACCAACCTCCCCATTTAATACTAGACCAGCATGCCCAGGGCCCCATCTAATCTGGCCTTGAACACCTCCAGGGACGAGGCATCCTCAGCATCTCTGGGCAGCCTGTTCCAGCACCTCACCACTCTCATAGTAAAGAACTTGATTTCTTTACATTTTTCTGCTTGAGCTTTCATCCCATACATGGTTGAAAAAAACCTTCGATATCACAAAAAAGCTGCAAAATCCTGTCTATCATGGCTGAAATTAACAAGGAGTAAGCAACACCAACTTACTTTAAAACAAAATTTGGTGTGTTAAAATCAAGTGGCAAGAAAATCACATGAAATTTTCAGTGTGTGTACATACATACTCTATAGCTAATGTGTGGTACTGGTTTATAATGATGCACGGTGATATGTAAACATGTATTTTAGAATTAACACCTGTCTATTAATACATTTTATAGTTAAATCATCTTTATTTGTTTTGAACTACCAGTTTCAGAAAACCATCTGACCCAACCAGAGCCATAATCACACTCTTTATCTGCAGTTTTCAATCTGAAAAGAAAAATATAACTGATTAAAAAAAATATATACCTGTCAAAATATATAATGTTTTTTTCTGAATTAAAACAGAAATTACAACCAGCTTCTTTTCAGTTAAAGGCATTCCCTCAAAGCCTCTTCATAGTCATCTTTACCAATGGAGGTTGGAAGTCAGCCCGACACTGAAATCTACATCATCTTTTGGATTGTTTCAGAGAGATGACAGCTTTCTTTCTCAGAGCACACCACACTTCTTGCAGAATTCTACTTGAGATTGGCTGGAGGATACCAACCTCATGCTCTGTGTTCTGGAACAGTGCCACTAACATTCCAAATAATTGAATAAATGCTCATTTCATTATTCAAAAAAGCGTGAACTTCTGTTTTCAGCCATGATGTTTAACTTCATCACAGTTAGTAAGCGTATCACAAAGATAAAGTCATCTTATGCTAGAAAATGAATATTATACATAAAATACATCTAAAGAGATTTATTTTATTTAGAGAGAGAATTTACCTTTAAATTTGTTCCCGGACTTTGTCCTTCACTTTCACTGTCTTCCTGTTCAGAGTCTGATTCAGATGTTCTGGAATCTGTTTCTTCAGAATGCTTGCCACGTTGACTGTTCTCGTTTGAAGATGAAACAAAACCATCAGGTTTCTCCCATGTGGACACTGTCCAAGATATTGAATAATCACATTATGTACACATCTAATTCTGTCTATTTTTGCTTTGACGGCATCAGCTTTCAGAAGCAACGTTACCTTACGTAAAATATACAGCAAACAATTTGGTGCAAGACTTCTGCCTTTCTTCAATTCATTGTTCCTAGCAAAGATACTGTTCTAACAGCTGAATTCATTGACAATAAAAATCACTGTAAACAGTGCTTAAGAAAAATATCACATGTAACAAATCATGGCCTACAAGACTCTGGTCCTAAGACAGGACAGACCACCTTGAGAGGTGCCTATTTGATTTAAGTTACCCATTGATGATAAAGAAAAGATAAGGGAAGGAATGCTAACTGTGAGTCTCCTAGCTTTCAGGATGGATAAATCCTTCCCCTCTGCATCTTGTCTCAGTAAGATTATGCTTTTAATAAAACTGCTGTCAAGCAAACAAATGAAAACATGATTCTGAAAAAACAGAAAAGAATCTGTAGAATATGACCTCATTTTAGTATTCCTTGATTAGAAGTATTCCAGCAAATAAGCAGGTAAAACTGGACTCAGTGGTCCACTGGTTTTTAGTAACAGTAAGATAAAAGTAATAATCATTTCCTATATATAATTTTATACAAGCTCTCAAATGCAACAGAACTGCAAGTTTTCCATTTATTTTATCTATTTCCAAAGAAATCACCAGCTGAAAACAGCACTTAACAGGCATGTTCCTGGGCATATCCTGGGAAGGAAACGTGTAAGAAACTGATGACAAGTAGCTTCTGACTAACAAAAAAAGTCTCCTAAGGGTATTACTGTCATCTTGTTTTACACCAATAACTGAGAAAGTTCACTTTCTTAGATGTCACTTAAAGCCATGGATCAAGGTGCAGCCTCCTATAGCATATTACAGGAGCTCAGCCTAGAGATGCTGGACTGCTAAGTTACATGCCTGAGATGAGACATTACAGATATTCTCCTTGGTTAAAAATCTGTCTTTTCTTTAGAGGGTAGGATTAGTGCTAACATAACTGACAAGCAGTTTTCAAGTCAAAATTTTACCAAATACAATGACATTCTTCAGAAATGTGATGTGTGCCTGAAGAGCTTACAACCAAAAGCATACAAGTACACCTGAACTTAGAAGGCAATGTTTAAAAATAACCAGCAACTTGCCTTCCTTTCAGAAAAGCAAACCACAAACCATTAGAAAAGGGAGGTGGCATGCTGAAAAACTGAGTTTTTTCCCCTGTTCTCAGCATCATTAGGAATTCTTCTTCATATCCAATATTAGAAGGAAAACTCATAGCTGGTGTAAAACTTCTTGCTCTCCAGAGAGGCACTATTGACCTTATATGATTCAAACAGATTTAGAAAACAGGTGCCTGTTCTGGGGGAGTTACCACAAAATTCACTATGCAGGGAAAAATGGAGAGAAGTAGAGGCTCTAATTCTGGTCTCTCATAACAGTCCTATGTCAATGACAGGAAAGGATCATAGAATCACAGAATGGCCTGGGTTGAAAAGGACCACAGTGATCATCTAGTTTCAACCCCCCTGCTGTGTGCAGGGTCACCAACCAGCAGACCAGGCTGCCCAGAGCCACATCCAGCCTGGCCTTGAATGCCTCCAGGGATGGGGCATCCACAACCTCCTTGGGCAACCTGTTCCAGTGTGTCATCACCACCCTCTGTGTGAAAAACTTCCTCCTAAGGAAGAAGAAGGATCACGAGGTTCTAATTCTATCCTCCATACCTGTCAAAATAAAATCCTATCCCTTCTAGTTTTCCAAGCTAAAACTTCAGTACATGTGTGTAGAAATGAGGTAGGCATATTTTAGAGCTGTAAGTTGAAGGTAAAAAAAACCCCAACAACTACAAAGCACAAATGCACACAATGTGACAGTACAGGCATAAAGCCAACACAAAGTTAAGCAACAAGTAATATATTTCAACTGAGTAACAGCTTAAAAAATGTGAAACAGAATAATGGCCTTAAAACACAGCTATTTGCAAAGTAAAACTGAAAACTGAAAACTCTCACTTCTGAAACAGAGATTAACTGGAAACCAAGCTCGCCTTACCTCCTGTCTGTGTGTTGTAATAATAGGTATGACCATCTTCACTGACACCTTCTACCCACACTGCTCCCTGAGAAAAAGATAAAGGAGTCAATCAAAAAAGAAAAAGAAAAAAAAAAAGACTTATAAGAATTGACAAAAACATCACTTAGAAGACTTTACTCCTTTTTTTTTTTTTTTTTTTGTTGAAGAATACACCTTCACAAAAATAATTGAATAATATTGAATAATTGAAGAACTTTGTAGGAATGCATCCCAATGAATTTGTGTGATTTGGAAAAGCACCAATTTCAATGAAGCACTGATTTTTCCCACTGATTACTAAATGCACGTGAAATGTGACAAAAGTTGCTGCTGGTATGTCTTTGTGGCTAAGTAATGAAAATAAAGATGCTTTGCAGAACAGAGGATCGCACACTACATGTGGCTTAAAATCTTCCATAAGAACTTGATTTCATGAACGGCAGTAACACATACAACTTTCCTTGCTCCTTAAATACTAATATTACTTGTTTCTTTTTACTGGGTAGCATTTCTATGCAGCTTCATCATACATTATTTTTGTTATTGAGATTCTGAGCATCTTAGAGCTTGTTTCTTTGAGGTTTTCAGCACGTATTTGACATTGGGCACACTAAGCATCCTACTGCATACATGCTGTCAAGCATGACACCACTCTAACTGGTAGCCCTTGATGCAACTATCTACTACTCAGTTCTCTGCACCTCTTGTGAAGCCTGAGGGGAGAACTAACCTGCTGTAAAGCAAGGAAGAACTGTGAATCTCACTTGCACAGCATACTGCAAGCATGCCCTATAATTTGTGGGAAATGTGAGCCCTCGTTAGAGATCTGGAACGTTCCCAATTTCTTTAGCTCAGACTAAATAAAGGAGCAATTAAATGCTTGCTTTTAGCAGTAGCTGAGCCAAGTAAAGATACCACAAAGTCACAGGTCAGGGTGAGGGAGGAATGGCAAAACACAGCCATGTGGCTTAGGAGAGATAACAGAGGGTAAGGGTGTGTATTCATGATAGAGCTGAAATGAGCTAACTTCAAATTGTTGCCAAGAAGCTCCTTCTCTCCTCCATCTGGGCTTTCTGAAGCAGCACTTCTCTGACCGCCCAGAAGGCTGACTCACAGAAACAAGTCTATGAGGCACTAACCATAACTCTGATGTCCTCACTCCCTGAATGAGTTCACTGTCAGGAGAAATACACAGCAGGGAACGCACAAGATCAGTCACAGGACCTCTCTCAGTGGAAGGCTACAGTAAGACTGGCTTAAAAACATTGCAAAGCCATGAGTTGACAGAAAAGATAAAGCACTGCTTAACAAGTTCTGCAAAACTGTGGAGGAAAGGAATCGAAAGCCAGAGTAGCATGGGCTGGGAAAAGGAAGTATGCAGCCTCCTGGGAATAAACACTGGCTGAAAAAGGTCTGCATTTCTGAAGTAAAACTCTTTTTTAACATGAGACGGAATAAAGACAAGGGAATTCATGGACATAAACTGATGCAATTGCCTAAAAATATAAACAGCTATAAACATTTTCTACTTTGTATGTACTCCAGTACCCAGCAAAGGCTACTTTCTGAGAAACAACACATGGTGACAGAAAGTTAAGCACTCTGACAAGGCCAGTTTTTTTTGCTCTCCAACAGAATATCCAACATTATTAGCAAACAATACTGACTTCACATCACACTGTATCTATATTAGAAAGGTGGAAAACTTCACATAGCTCCATAGGAGTGTTGTAAAAATAGTGTTTTTAATGTTGGGAAGTACTAAACTCCTACAGTGATAAACCACAGAATCATAGAATGGCGTGGGTTGAAAAGGACCACAATGATCATGTAGTTTCAACCCCCTGCTATGTGCAGGGTCACCAACCACCAGACCAGGCTGCCCAGAGCCACATCCAGCCTGGCCTTGAATGCCTCCAGGGATGGGGCATCCACAGCCTCCTTGGGCAACCTGTTCCAGTGTGTCATCACCCTCTGGAAGCGTGAAAAACTCCCTTCCAATACCAGGAGAAAGTCCACTGATGATTGACTTTCTGGTGTTGGATTATTTAGCAAGTCTGCTTGTCCTTTAAATGAGGAAGACAGTAAAATGATAAGAAGTTGCTTCTACATAGGTTCCATGGCTCTAAGAAACTTACAAAAAAGACCAGTTATCACATAACTGTATCCTAAAGCAAGCACAAAAAAAAAGGAATTAATATTTCTTTAACTACTAAACATCACAATCTCAATGTTTTCTAAGCAGTGCTTTGGGGTTATTACGAACCAGAACACAGGAAGACAAATGTGCTCCTTCATACACATAAAAAGTAGCTGTTTCTCCCTGAGCAGTCAAAAAGTGTTAAAAGATTTCTACATCACTGCAGTGCAAAAGAAACTCATGAGCTGCAGCTCAGACCTGAAGTTTCTTCGATGCTTCTATTCCATCCTACTGTAAAAAGAGAGGTACAAGAAGCTGAAGAGAATTCATTCAGTTTACAAAAAGCTTTCAGTTTTATGGGCTAAGGAATTAAAACAGCATATTCTGTAAAAACCACTATCACTTCTCTTCCCCTGATAAAACAATCAGCCAAATTATGTTTGTAGAAGAAAATATCAGTTTTCATCACATATGTCATAAATGATCCTATATATTCAAACAATGTCATGTTTTGCCAAGTTTATGAAAAGTGAACAATTGTTCAGCTCATTTCTGGCAAGTATTTGCAAAGACAAAGGAAAATATGAATAACAGTGTTTGATTACCGTGTGAGAATTTTTAGAGTTGCCTTGGAATCCTTTTGGTTTCTCCCACTGTGATTCTTAAAAAACAAAAACATATTTCATTCATCATTCAGTCCTGCTCACGATCCGTAATGTTTAGAAAGGAAACAGATCTAAGAGTTATGACACTGGTATGTGCACACATACAAAGTGCAGTATAGATCTATACATAATCCTTTATCAAACTACACTATGAACAATAATGGGAAGTGTCTTAATTACAGTTGGCTTTACCAGGATTAATCAGACTCTGAAACACTGGTTGATACACAGATACTGGGAATTTGGTTAAAAAAAAAAAAAAAAAAGCTAGTATAGGCCACAAGAAATTAAACACACAAGATTTTTTACCTTTTGGAAGTTACCTTGTAGAAAGAATGACTAAAGTAAACAACAAATTCATTTCTAAATTTATAAGAAACTGTTTGTGATGTTCTCATTAATCACACACATACACAAAAGGGATTGCTTTTATACTCCAACGTAGACCATAACACATTGCTTCTCAACTGATGTTGGTCAGTTAAGCAAATGTGGAAAGAAATAATCAGGCAACAATTCATAACTGCCCTTATTTACTTGGGCAAAACTGATGTTGAGGTAACTGCCCAATTAATTTCCTGGTAAGATATTTAGAAAGAGAATAATTATGTTTTGCATATTTTAACCTTTGAGAGGTTAAAAATTTCCAGAAACAGTGGGACTACTGCATTATCTCATTACTATCTTATTAACAAAATGCAAATACATCTGATGTTCTCGATGCCTAAGTCTTGAATACTAAATATCAAAACTACATCTAATTGTTCAGATTTTAATAATCAGCTTAGTATTGAGGTGGCAGAAGGGTAAATGTAGGTGGTCTTCACTTCATTCGTATGCAATATGTTTATCTGTCTTTGCTCCTCGCTGTTTTTTACCTCCTGTTTTTGTATTGTAGTAGTAAGTGTAGCCTTCAGGAGAAAGTCCTTGCACCCACTCCTTTGGTTCAGTTTTTGGTGACTCTGAGGTGCCCTCACGTGTCTTTTTTTTCTTTTCCTTCTTTTCCTTTTTTTCTTTCTTTTCCTTCTTCCCTTTACCTTCCGCTGCGTTACTCTGTGTTTTATTCTGTGTTGAACTGGGGCCTACATCATCTTAAAGGAGATAATATTTAGTTTTAAAAGAAAGAGTAATAATCTGAGCTTAAATATTTGACACTTATTAACAGCAAGTACAAATAGGAGACTTTGTGTTACCTATCAGTATTATACTCATTGTAGCTAAACTCAAAAGACTACATTTAAAAGGACCTTTCATTTTAGCAACACTACACTGTTACAAGGCCCAAGTATCCAAAGAGGAGTAGCAACATGAAGAGAAGTACGGTAAGTACCAAAGAGTTCTGACTGAAGCAAAACAAACTGCAGGAGTTCTGAAAAGACAGCTTCTACAGAAGCTTTAAGGTACAACTTTTGAAAAATGATTTCGTTCTCACATGGACTGAACAAAGGTACTCACTGAACTGCAAGATGAGAATGTGATTCTAATCCCTACCTGGTACCACTGGGAGTCCAAGCTCTCTTATTTGATACAGACTTGCCTCCAACTGGCACAAATGAAACATGAAATTAACTAAGGGAAGCTGCACCTCTCACTCAGAGTACCAACAACAGTATCTACATTTTTTGCTGTTGCACTGTGTAAGTGTTCTACCCCAAATCAAATTGTTCCATGCCCCCAAGGACACCTTAGCTAAAAACATTCTGTACAGCAACTCCTACTACTGGCAATTTGCAGGCTTTTTCTTTTTCTTTTTTTTTCTTTTTTAATAAGCAAACAGTTCTGGAGGCCTACTCCCATATTGCTAAATCCTAATTTCAGAAAAAAAAGCATTTCTATTCAATATTCTTTCAATTCTGCCTTTAATCCTTTGGCAACTATATGAGCTACCTGGCTTAATTCCAAGCCTTTTCAAATCCTCTTGATATGCTTTCATTGCAGCCTCCTCCATTGCTGCAAATTCCTTTGACATGTTTTCTTCTTCTTTTGCTTTTTCCATGCTTTTCTTCCTAATCTAAAAGAAAACACAATAAGAATAAATTTCAACAAATCTGGTAATGAAAGTGATTAAATACATGTATCTGTGAAAAGAAGGTGTTTGAATTACCTCGCTAATTCTTTTGGCCACATTTTCCTTATGATTCTTTCCTCTCTCGTGAAAGTCTATGCTCTTAAGAAAACAAGAAAAAAACAAGGAAAACAGGAAAAATTAACAAATACATTTTTTAAAGTTACTTAAAATTTAGATAAACTTTGTTGAACAAGTTTAAATGCAACTTGCTTTGAAAATGTTTAAAGCAAAGTCTATAGCTAGAAAATATTTGCTCATAAACAATTCAGGAACATTTTGAAACATTTAACATAGAAGTTTTGAGAAGCCAGTAAAGGCCCAAAATGATATTTATGATCCAATTATAAACTTTCATATCCTATATTTATGAGATTTATAACTTAAAATAGTACTACTCAGCACAGGTATTAGAGACAATCTGGATTCCCTCCCTGTGCTGTCCTTCTGAGTAGCATCCCATGTTTTTTTCTACTCACTTTGTTGGCTTTTCTGCAAACCTTCCAAAACTATGTGGCTTATTTAGTGTTACAAATATTAGCTCTGATCCTTAATTACAATATTCCAAATTGCACAAATATCCCATGGCCTCCTGGTCCAAAAATTTGAGAGCTAACAGAAAAGCTAAGATGGGAGAGCTGAGTAACTAAGGACAACAGGAGAGTCTGCAAGCCACCAAGCTGCCAGGAGAAAAAGCCATCAGAAACTGGAACGAGTTGAGAAGCTCTGCAAGTGTGACAGCTGAAGCTCTCAAGTGGTTTGAACACTGAAGTTTTGAAAAGTCAGGTGCCTAAATCTGACGTAGTAACCCTAGGAGTTCTCTGCACAAAAAGATGTGCAAAGGATGCACATCCAGATGATGATTAATCTCATTTATAGACAAGGTTGGTAGGTTACCCAAGCTCCCTTCCTTCATGCATGACTCTTGGGTGAAAGTATGATAGAAACCTAAACCAATCAGCTCAAATCTGTGCTTCTGAATTACAGGTATGTAAGTGTAAACCAGATGAAGTTCAGCTCCAGAAGTACCTTTGGCATTGAATTGGGAGTGCAAAACTTATTTTTGAAGTGAGAAACCAATGGGTCTCATCATCTGCAAAAGGTGTCTGCAAGTCAGCAACACCTTTCTGTAACCCAGTAACATTTCTGTGGGCTGTGTGAAATGAGAGAAACTTCCTTTTAAGTGTTCTGAGCACTGGATGTACCAGGCCTGACATATAAAACAGCATGTATGCCAGGTTTTGCCTCCTACTTGCATACTAAAGAATGGGTATGGACAAAGCTTCAAGTCAGACTGGACAAAGCTTCAAGTCAGACTGGATGTTAAGTTACAAAACCTGAAGAAAAAGAAGGGTCAGATATGCCAGTTCTAATCCTGCACTGCCAAGTCAAAGAGCACAACACACCATCTTGTGTTCATGTATATGCTTCTCACATATCATGATTTAATAATCACAAGTAAGTATTAGAAAGGCAATTTTAGACAACATTTTTTGTGCATCAATAAATCAGTAAAAAAAAAAAAAAAGTGATTTTAATAGCCTGTAGTAGAAATCCCTGGTATTTCAGAATCAGTGGTATAGTACAGCAGGTGATCATACAGGTCTGTTGTCTGCTATCCAGCACTTGCAATAATCGCAGAACTTTTTTGGCTGAGACTTCCAGTAATCGGCCCTGGGGAGGAGGAGAAAAAGAAATAAATGACATGCAATCTGAAACAATAACCAAAGGCATGGGTTATTATGCATATAACCTCAGAAACTAAACTTAGGCATTGTCTCTGGGTTTGGATTAATGTCTATTTTGGATACAGCCAGCAGTGAGCTTAGTAACATAAATGCTGGACGATGTGGAGGAATCTAAGAACAGATCCTGAGCTGTGCTGTCCTAGACAAAACAGCACAGTGCTTTGGGTGTTTCAGTATAGCAATGTGAGTATTTCTGAAGGTGTAATTTGGATAAGAAGTTGTCCAAGTATGAGAAAACATGCAGAAAACTCTTCAGAGCTCCAGAGCCACTATGTAGAAGTATTTAAGAGCAAAACAAACAACTCCTCCAATGATTAGATAAAGGCTGCTTCTTCATTATTTAAAAGTATAAGCATGATGAATGCACTCTACAAATGCTTATCAGCCTATAAGCAATGGTGCATTTGCAAGATGCAGCTTTTCAAGCAGTTTTCTGAAAGGCTTGAAAGCAGCTGGGCTTCCCCCAGTATAAACAGAAATCTGCTCATCCCTGCATGGTAAACCTTAAACCTGGGAGATTACTTAGTTGCACATTTAATTAGAAGGCTTTTGAGATTCATATTCCAAAACACACTAAGGTGAAAGCCTGGGAAATTTCACACTGGTTGATATCCAGCTGGGTGGGGATGAGTTCAGAGCTCAGAAATATACCTCGTGTCCCTTTCCCTCATTTGACCTGTAGCTCCTGAACTGCCCCTAAGCCCTCTGACATCCTCTAAGATGAATTTCCAGCTAAAAGTCACATCGACTTTCCTAAGGCATACCTCCAGTTCTAACAGAAAGCCTCAGTACACACTTCAGAGGTGCAAGAACATCTGTGGATTTCCATCTTTAAACTAACGGGACTCGTGTTTTGTCTTCAGAAGAACCCAGTGTGAGTAATACTAAGACTGTGCAGCTGCATTCACTGAAAGTCAAGATGTGAGAGTTTGCCAGGATGCGTTTTCATAGCTCATTTTTCCACTGCTTTCTTTCCTGAACACCGTTAGTCATCACACCTGTCACAAAACACTGTAGCTGCACACACAGAAATCACTCTGGAAAATCTGAGGGCACACCTGGGGCTTAAACACAAAAATTGAGGCCTTGGCAATGCCAGGTTTTTGTCTGGATGTTTTTGCTAAAGATTGGAGCTAGCTCACTAATGGTAAATACAAGACTGTGCAGCATACCTGATATCCTGGAAACCTAAAATCCTGCTAACTGTGTAAATTACAGTTCTGATTCTGCAATTTAGGAGCACTATGAGTTTTATAATGCTGAGATTTGCAACTTCAGTTTGGACCACGCAAAAAAAGAGCAAGCTCATCTGATGTTATTCAGTGATGGAGCCTGCAAGGCACCAACAGTGCTGCACTGAGGAAACCAGAGGTGGGGACTGAAGAGCTGCAACTGCAGAGAGATCTTACTTCAGTGGAAACCTGCAGGTGCTTCACAGGCTCTGGTCACAAGCCTGAAAGTTAATAAAGCGTGATGAGAATGTTTAAGTATGTGATTACTTTTCTTTAATCAAATGCAGACATGTGAATAGATTCAGTTAAAGTGGTACAAAAGTCTTCTACACTTGAGCTCTGTGCTGCGTGGCCTCACCTCCAGTACTGCGTGCACCGCAACATCAGAAGGACATAAAACTATTTGAGAATGTCCAAAGGAGGGATACAAAGATGGGGAAGGGTCTGGAGGGGGAGATGCATAAGAAGCAGCTGGAGTCTCTGGGTTTGCACAGCCCAGAGCAGAGGAGCTGGAGGGAGGCCTGATGGCAGCTGCAGCTCCTCACAGGGAGTGGAGGGGCAGCACTGAGCTCTGCTATCAGTGACAATGACAGTGATGGCATGGAGCTGTGTCAGGGGAGGGCAGCTGGGGGCTGGGGACAGGGTCTGCACCAGAGGGAGGTAGGCATGGAACAGCCTGCCCAGGGCAGTGGGCATGGCTCCAAGTTGTCAGAGTTCAAGCAGTGTTTGGACAGTGCTCTCAGGTCTGATTTTTGGGTGGTGCTGCAAGGAGCCAGGAGTTGAGTCGATGATCCATGTCTCATGGGTTCCTTCCATCTTAGGATATTCTATATTTCTAAGGTTGATTCTAGTCTTCAGCTTTACAACAGGTACAGCCTGCTGAGGGTTGGAGAGGCATCAGACTCACCATCACAATTGCAGCCACCTCTCTTCACTTCACTGAAGTGAAAGGACTGTCCAGAATGCATTACGTTGAATGCATGAAAAGTCATGTTTTCAGGGCTGAGACATTAGCAGACAAAGGGGAATGCAAACAGCTGGTTACACTGATCACAGGACACGTGCAAGTGTAACTGGGAATCTCTCACTTCCCACAGAGATCTGACAGAGGCTGCTGGGACCCCAGCTACCAGAGCTGGTGCATAAGTTAGCTAGACACTGTGCTACTGGAACCACAGGGAACGGAGTGCAGCACATGCAGAGTGGACTGGGTAGAACTTCTAGATGAACTGCTGCAAGCTTTCAGCCAGATTTGGATATCCTGTACTAACAAGAATTATGAATCTGCTAAGGAACACCAGGTTTGTTTTAGCTCTTTACTGGTCAAGCCAGCATGAGCAAAATGTGCAAGCACAGCTCAGAAGGCTGAAGAAGGAGGAAGGCAGAAAGATGGAGTGAATATAACAGCACTGTTTTCTAGAAACACCAATGAAATGATCCTGTCACAAGCAGCTGTAGAGTACAAGTAGTGTCAATGTTAAAAATATTTTCAAATTTCTGAAATTCATTTAGGACTTCAGGGGCAGTGAGATCACAGGGAACAAACACCAATTCTGCATTAACAGCACCTGTTGCATTCACTGCTTGTAGCTCTGCAACTCAGACATTTTCCTTGCTGTAATTAACTTCCTGAGACAGTAGAGTCACGGAGTCTATGTTGAAATGATGGATTTGTGCACTTCTACTGTTTGGGAGAACCCAAAGGGAACAAGAACTGCTGACAACATACAGACAGCAACCTGAGGAGAAACTCCAGCAGTGTTGGAGTGCAAAGCCCTGAGCTCTCAAGTCAAAGCTCCCTGTCAATACACAAGTCTTCTCCCAGCAGTGTTTTCACAAAAACAGCAATTGGTTCTCTTTAGGAAGCTTTAAGAAATCCTAACAAATAAGCCAGCTTCAGCTCAGAAAGTATTGCCAAACTTTGTTTTTAGGCTGTGCTGGAGGCTTTGGTTCCTATAGCAAGCAAGAGGGTGGGAAGACATAAGAAATAACTGTTTCAGGTGGTTCTGAACACAAGAAAATTTGGCAATGCAAACAAAATCTGGAAGCATTTGCTATGAATGGCTTTGCTGTAAAATACCAGGCTTGAAATCTGGCAGGGTGCAAGGAGCTTGTATCAGGGCTGTAACTGCCCAAATTAGAACCCTTTGGGAGGAAAAACATCACACACATGCTCAGCAGTCATCTTTGGTTTTCATGTCTACAAATGCTGAAGATTTTGCACATGGATAATTTCTTCCAGCTTCCTACAGGCTGAGCACAGAACACCCAATGAATGCATCATCTTAAACACAGGAGTGTGAAGGGAGCAATATGCAGATCTCAGCTCTTGACTATGAAATAAATGAATTCAGACTGGCTATTGCAGCTGTAAGCAATCACTCAACAGAACATGGTATTCAGAAATACCAGTACATTCTGCTGAGGAACACTTCTAAATATTGGGGAATACTTCTAAGGCAAAGTAATAGTTGTGTAATGGAACAAAGTAGAAAACAAAATAAAAATGACTACATATTTCACAGCAGGCATTCCACATGGGAAGCCGTCCCAGAAGAGCTAGGTCTAATTCAAATACCCCAGCCAGTCTTTCTTATATTGGCTAGCTCTAAAAATGCAACATTAAAATGATCAAAGAACCACACCAAAACAGCAAAGTGTCCTCTTATAATGTGAATTAGGCCCAGTGCAGTAGCCCTCACAACCTGTACTCCTCAAGAACTCTCACAGCAATTCCATTCACTCCTGGGGCACTCATCCTACCCCCTAAAGCTCTTCTTTGATTCATCTCTTCAAGTTCTATCAAAAATATATGTTTTTAAAAAGCTATTTAAAAATAAGGATTTCAGAAAATGTCATCTCTGACACATTTTTCTTGGTGGCCTTCTGCTATGCCACAGAATACACTCATATACATGGTAATGGGTGGGAATTTAATCTGCGTGACACAGGGTGGCTCTGTGAAGGCTGCAGCCCTTATGGTCTTCAAGTCAATTGCCTTCTGGCAACCCCTCAGTAAATTCCCATTTACAGCCTAAGTGGCTGCCTCATTTTACTACTGTAATCGCCCCCACTAAACACACAGGTCATGAGCCTGCAAGGCAATCTAAGCAGAATCTGTATGAGCTGCTCGATCCAATTCTGTACTAGTGCTGAAGCTCATTTGCATGTATCTGCTTTGCCAGGTTGTTTTCTATGCTTAATTGAAAGGCAACACCATGAACAGCTGTAACAATATACAAGGATGCATGGGAGTATCAGAGCAGAAAGATCTCTGCATGCTCAGAGCATCCATCACCTCATCTAACAGCAGTTGTCTAAAAAGTGAGGTAATGAGGTACCTAAGTTGGTTATGGTCATAGAATGGCCTGGGTTGAAAAGGACTACAATGATCATCTAGTTTCAAACCCCTGCTATGTGCAGGGTCGCCAACCACCAGACCAGGCTGCCCAGAGCCACATCCAGCCTGGCTTTGAATGCCTCCAGGGATGGGACATCCACAACCTCCTTGGGCAACCTGTTCTCCTCTTGTTTATACGCTCCCTTCAAGTACTGGAAGGCCGCAATGAGGTCTCCCCAAAGCCTTCTCTTCTCCAAGCTAAAAAAGCCCTCAACCTTTCCTTGTAAATTCTCTTTTGCCAATGGAAGGAGACCAGCACCATCCAAAGGGCCATCATTCCCATTCCAAAATTGGCACATGAGATGGAAACTGAATGGCATGGGTGTGTCTTTCTTTCTTGTCATTGAATCATTAAGGTTGGAAAAGACCACCAAGATTAATATAGTCCAACCATCAGCCCATCCCACCGTGCCCACTGACCATGTCCCTCAGTGCCACATCCACACAGTCCTCGACCACCTGCAGGGATGGTGACTCCACCACCTCCCTGTGCAGCCTGTGCCAGTGCCTCACCATTTCTTCTGAGAAGAAATGTTTCCTAGTATCCGTCCTGAACATACAGAAAGCCTACAGCAAACAACCTAAGTGAACCTTCAGAAGGTAAATATGTGAGGTCAGAGATATCTACTGAGAGCAGAAGTCTGCTGCTGTGGATGAAGACAGACAAGGGCTGCGTCAGGGAGAATATGATAAGAGAAAAAAAAAAAAAAAAAAGAAAAACATCAACATAAACTGGGTCAAGAAGCTGCCGAGGTATAATTTTAGCAACAACTAAAATTAAGAGCACTGCAATGAGTCTGCTCACACAGCCTACCCACCAAACACTTCTCCACAAAAAGATTTCAGCTCTGTGATCTGCTTCAGACGTTTTTAAGCAGGAAAGTCAGGCTAATAGGAAAAAAAAAGCAGAGGGGAGCAAATGTAATCCGTGTGAGTTCTTGATTTGACTTGATCAAGACTGGAGCCTGCACCTTGCCCGCGTCCCGTCCAGCCTAGCCTTGAGCTCCTGCAGGGATGGGCCGAACGCAGGTTTCCCACTCAGTTATTTTAAAGACTTGAAAGACAACGGCGATAGCAGCAAAGCGAAGCCGCAGCGGCTTTCTCGGTGCGCCCCTCGCAGAAGCAGAGACACCGGGGGAGGCCGTACCCCCCCGCCAGCAGCAAGACGCCGACCTGCCCGGCCTGCCTGGCCGAGATAAGGCTCGGGACCGGCCCGCCGCCGCCTGCCCGTGCTCCCCTCCGGCCCGGCCCTGCCTTCAGAGCCCCCAGCCCCGCCGCCGGCCCGCAGCCCCCCGCGCTGTGGCTGCGCGCTGCCCGCTACCCCCAGCACTCACATATCCGCCGCCTCAAAGCACCGCCGCACCGCCGACCTCCGCTCGCCGCCGCTGGAGCGGGGCGGGGCGGGACGTGAGCGGGGCGTGGGGAGAGCGCGGCGACGGCGGCCGGCGGGGCTCAGTCCGCGTTCTCCTCCCCCGCCCCGTTCCCACCTCCTCCCTCCGCCCGCTCCTCCTTCCCCGCCCCGGAGCGGCGAGCGCTCAGCGGGGAGCCGCGCGCCAAGGGAGCCGCCGCCGGTGAGTGCCGCCGCGCCCCGCGCACGAGGGGGGACGGGAGCCGCGAGCCGCCGCGGACCCGGGTTCGAACCGCGCCGCCGCCGGCAGCGCTCCGGAGGCGGGAGGTGCGAAGGGGGAACGAAGGGGCTAGAGAAGCGGCGGGGAGCCCGCTGGCCGCTCCTGCCAACTTTCCGCGGAGTTGAGGGGTGAGGGCGGGCGAGGACGCGTGCACGGAGAGCGGGCGGGCTGCGCATCGCCCTCCCTTCTCGCCGCCGCCCCGCCGGTGTCGGGCAGCGCCGGCTCCGTGCTGCCGCCGGGGCGGAGGCGCGCGCGGGACGGTTGGAGGCCGCGGCGCGTGCGTGTCCGTGAGGGAAAGGGAGGCGGCCGGGGCCGCTCCGTGACGGGCAGCGGTCGCTCAACGACGCTCTGGAGAGAGGGAGCGGGGTTCGAATCCCGCTCGTGTCGCCTCGCTGCCTACTTGTTGGGCGCCGAGTTCCCTCTTGGTTGTTGGACTTCAATAAAAGTCGGAGCCGGTGTTGTGTTCTAACCGCGTGACTTGTTTCCCAACCCTACCACAAGCTGGAAAAATATATATATATGTGTGTGTGTGTATATATACATATCTTAATTCACAGGCTGCAGCTGGCAGCCCCTTTGCTAACATCACACCGAGGGTGGGGAGAAGCCTGTGCAGTGAGTCACGGATTGAAGAGGCCCCGTGCTCGGTTGCTGCGAGAACGGGGGGGTGGGGGGTGGTGGTGATTCTCCGTGTGGGAATAGGAGAAAAAGCGCCTAAATTAGTGACAAGAAGAGATAACCCAGAGGTACTGAGCCCCCGGCCCAGGCTGCCGAGCTGTGTTACAAGCAGGGGGAAGCAGCCTGGCTGGTTCCCCAAGGGGAGGGCCTGCGGTCGGGCTGTCATAGCGCCCTGCGGGAGTTATGCGTTTGTCAGCATTTCCATTCTGAGTGTAGTTTTCATGTAGTTTACAGCTCGGTTATACAAATATGCGCTGGGTTGAAGCTTGGTCAACGTCCTCGTCTCCAGAAACGTCTCTGAGGCGAATTTTGAAATGATTCTGAGCGAACATCCGTGGCACATTCTGGCTTTGTGTGTTCGCTGGACTTCACAACTTCGCTTCTCACGCATACAGCTTTACAGCTGTTAGTCCCCAACTTTTTTTGCTTCTTTTCCTGCTAAGTTCCTTAAATGAGAGAAGGATTTAAAGGCTTGCCTTCTGTGGCTGCTGTTTATATATTATTACTGTGTTTTTGTTTTTTTTTTTTTTAAACTGTCTATTTGGTTGCTGCCTCTGAGCCGGAGCACAAACACAGTACTGAAGAGGTTTTCGTTTGTATACCTCTATATGTATATATCTCGATCGTGTGAAACGTGCCTGCCACCCAGTGGATGCAGCTGATCCGTGTATGCTCTGTGCTCTATACATCGCCACCACTCTCCCTCTGAATGTTTGCCAGCTGAGGTGTTGGAGCCGCGAAGTGCGAGGCTGCGCTGAGGCTGTGTGCCAGGAGGTGACCATCAGCCATGAGGCGAGCAGCCCTGCTCCTCCTGCCCTGCTCAGTGGAACAGGGGTAATGAAGGCAATGGGTAGGGCCTCACAGCTGGGCAGAAGTGAGAGATGTGATATGAACCAGGCCGTGCAAAGAGGGAGAGGCATTTTCGTGCCTAAGATAGTTGGAGAATTGGATTCTGCAGCCCCTGTCCTTTCTGTAGGATTTCCATGTTTTCATGTTTTCACACACAGTTGTTTTTCTGGTGCCTAACCTGAGCCTGGAGTTGGACTTGCAGTTAGGCTGAACTCACTCATCTGGAACAGAAGTCAATAGCTGTTTGTTCTCAACATGCAGAAGATCTTTTACAGGCCTAAGCGTGTTAGAAATGCAAGTCTTGTTCATCAGAATCACTCACTTGGTATCCACAGCTTTTTACTTTAATTTTTTCATGTCTTAGTTTCCCATCTTCATGAGATCATGCATAACAGTGTCCTTTACCTTATGGTTTAATACAGTGGTGAGAACAACAACAACAACAAAAAAAAAAACAGAGAGGAAAGTAAATCATCCTCTGGTCTGAGAGAACAATAGTGCTCTAAAGAACAAGGGCAGAAAGAAAATGTGCGTGCTAATTGTAACAGAGAAAAAATATGACCAGGTTAGTCACAATTGGAGACTGACCTCCGTGCATATGAGCATTAGAAGATGGCTTTAATTACCACAGGCCACTTAGTACTAATAAGTCCTAAATTCTGCTGTGTTAGTCACATTTTTCATGCTGCTGTTTTGAGCGTTATTTCCTAGGTTTTCTTTCAGTTAGGAAAAGATAAGCAGATAGGCATCCTGAGGCAATGTATGTGTGTTGCTGTCCTTTCTCAGCCGGTGCAATGCATGGGACTGTTGTCTGAGGTCTCCACTCGCTACCAGCTATCTGGCAGATCTTGGCTGCAAGTAGGCCGACAGGAGATGGTCTGTTGTGCTCTCTCAGTTTGGCCCACAGTTGTTTACAGGCAGGAAGGGAATGGCTCAGAAACCCTGGTCTGTGTCCTGAACTTTGCCGTGGGGATTTTGGATTTCCCTGGTTTGTCTGTGTCCTTCTGTGCCATTCCTCATCTTGGTGCTGTTTCATTCTCTCACGGTCTCCTTGCATCTGCTTTCATTCCCTTCTCCTTTGCTTCTGTATTTCCCACCTCCCTTTTTCTTGCATGAAGTATCTTTCTTGCATGAAACATCTTCCTTGGTCTGCCCACATGGTGCTCTATAGCCACGTGTTGCTGTGAAGACCCGTGGGATGGGGCAGTGAGAGGACAGGAGAGGCAGGATGCCAGCTCTGTCCCTGGTACCACATTGACCTCAGCTGGCCACTACACCTGGAGCCCGTTATCTGCTTTGGAGAAGATTTTCCAAGCTGCAGTCCTGTTCTGGACAGGAAACAGGAGAGAAGTTGTCTCTTTTGTGGGGATGACCTGTGCAGTGTGATCGATGTGAGAAGTTGTGAAGAATGTGGCCGTGACCTAGTAAATATCCACTGAAAATGTGCCATATGCAATTAATCTTAATTAGTTGGACCAAATCTAGGTGGGTTTTTCATTGGGACAGCAAAAGGTGCATGTGCTACCCTAACCCTAACAGCTCCAACCCCCGTGTCAGATTTCACATCTGTTATCCAAAGCTGAAAGGGCGTTATAACCTTCCAACAAGTTTGCCAGTGTTTTCTGTTAGCATTGAAAGATAGAATTTTCCCTGGTCTTGTTCTGAAAACAGCTGAATTATTTTGGCTGAGATATTCTAGTCTCAGTCTGCCTCTTTCTGCACCCCTCCCTCAGAAGCATTCTCTACGCACATGGAATAAAATTTAGCCCGAGGCAGACGTTCAGCTTGGAAAATTTCAGCCCAAATAAAGTCTGGCCAAGCTACAAGTGGCTGAACACAGCATCTCACACTGGGAGTGTTCAGCATCAAACATCATCGATACTAGTGTGTGTTTATGTACATTGAAACACACTGCTAAAATACAATATCAATAGGTTCCCCAGCTGACTAATTGGCACCCAATTGATCCTGAAAATTTTTAATGAGGAGCAAGCCTAAAACTTTTACAGTTAATTTTATGAATGCTTTTACTTACTGACATTATTAATTATTGTTTTCCTGTCTGAAAAATTGCAAGCTTTAAAATGGAGCCTCTGAAATAAATAACAAGTTGTGACTTACTCATTCTGAATCTTAACATTGTTAAGGACCAATTTACAGTAGAACCAGAGCAAATTGCATCCCAGACTTCTGAATTGTAAAAAACCACATCTCCCAAATTCCTGGGCTATTCATCAACCGTTCTATTGTAGCGGACTCCCCCTATATTGTGTCCCTGATATATCTATTAACTCTGCAGTGAAGTGTGAGTTTAAAACAATTATGCCATGGAGTCACTGTGGATTAAATACTACAAACATTGGCAAAGCTTCTTCGTAAATCTTCCTTAGAGAGGGACTTAGGCGTGTCTTTCTTTCTGAGTGCAGCTGTTCCTTGTGGCGTCCTCCTGGGGCTGGATCTTGGTGAAATGCTGTTTAATATCATTGTATTCACTGTTTTGCAACGATATCTCATCGTTACCAATCATTATGTGCAGGTTTTTGTGTGTGCATGTGTGGAACAAGTTGCTAGTGCCATATACTTCAAATCACAAGGGGGAATGGTTTTAAACTGAGACAGGAGAGGTTCAGGTTAGATATTAGGGGGAAGTTTTTCACACAGAGGGTGATGACACACTGGAACAGGTTGCCCAAGAAGGTTGTGGATGCCCCATACCTGGAGGCATTCAAGGCCAGGCTGGATGTGGCTCTGGGCAGCCTGGTCTGGTGGTTGGTGACCCTGCACATAGCAGGGGAGTAGAAACTAGGTGATCATTGTGGTCGTTTTCAACCCAGGCCACTCTGATTCTATAACTGTATGATTTGATGATCACATTTTTAAATGGTTCTCTTCCAGCTGAATCCATTTTTCATGTAGCTGGATACAAAGGGACCAGGAATGCAGTTATACCAGCAGGATAGAAGGCTGTCTTCAAACTGGCAATTTGGAGGAGTGTTTAAGACTTTGTTTGGAGAATCATCTCAACAGGAGTTTTCGTTGTAATGCTGTGAGCAAAGTGTGATCTTTGGCTATAAAGCAATAAAAATAGTGCATAGAATTAGGAACGTACATGGCATTACTAAGGTGACTGGAATGCTGAGTCTGTGTCCGGTGTTGCTGTTCACACGAGGAAGGATGTGAAATATTAGTAAGAGCATGGCAACAAAAAGTGATCCAGGGTTTAGAAAAGAAGCTTAATAATGTGGTTCGTC